CTCCATCTATCATGATGTTGCCTACTGGCCCAGTGGTAAGGAATTTTGGGTTTTTTGATATTGAGATGTAATCCATAGTGAAGGCTGTTGTCTTTGATCTTCTGCAGCATTATGATGTCTTCATAAAGTCCAACTTCCTGAATTATTTGTTTCAGTCAGTATGCTGACTGAAAAGGTATGGAGAAAGGATACAACCTTGACACACAACTTTCTTGCTTCTTGAATACAATTAGGGGTTGGTTCTAGGATTCCTAATTTTCTCAATGTTAGCTATAATTTGTTGTGATCCACACAGTCAAAAGCCGTTGTACAGACAATAAAACACTAAGAGACATCCTTCTAATATTGTCTGCTTTCAGTCAAGATCTATCGACTCAATATTAGCAATGGTATTTCTGGCGCTACAGCCTGTTCTAAATCTGGCTTGAATTTCTAGTACTTCTCTGTTGAGTCACTGTTCTAACTATTTTTAAAATAATCTTCAGCAATATTTCACTTACATGTAATATTAATGATACTGTTTGATAATTTTCACATCATTCTATTGGATCATATTTCTTGGGAATGAGAACAAATAGAAGAAAAAAACTCCAGTCACTTGACCAGGTGTCTGTTTTCCATATTTCTTTTGTTTTTAATTTTCTACTAGTTTATTTACAAAATTTGAATACAAATTTGAACAATTTTCAATTTCCCTCAAATTCCCCCATCAAATTCTACAACCCAATGATTAATACCCCTTTCCCCATGCACATCCTCAACCCTCTGCTTCCAGCCTCTCCAACCCCTCTTGGATCCTTATATTCATTCTACAATATTGGTTTTATACAATATCTATCCTTGTGAGACTGAGTTAGTTAACTTCACATAATGCTCTCCAGTCCCTCCCAAGTTAGGTAATAATTTACAAAATCATTGCTCCTGCATGCTACATAGTTCCACTGTCTTCCATATTTCTTGGCACAGCCTTTGTTGAAATATATCAATTGGTATTTCATCAATTCTTGGGCCTTTCACTGTAGCTTTGAACTTCATTACCATTGGTTATTCATTGTACACTACTTCCTGAAATGGTTACATGTCCAGCCAATTCCTTTTGGTACAGTGATTCTGTGTATTCTTTCCATTTCATTTTGGTGCTTCCTGGATCATTCAAGATTTCCCCCTATAAAATATGACAGTATTGCAATGTAAGGCTTGAATTTGTTTTTCTGCTTAAGAGTTCTTCTCTTTTTATTTTCTGACTCCAGCTCTTTGTACATTTTTAGTAATACTTTGCTTTGTCATTATGAGCTATCCTTTGGGATCTTCTGCTCATCTCTTTTACGTCAATTTCTTCCCTTTGTTTTGTCTTCTTGATGCTCTAGTGCAATTTTCAGAGTCTTTTCTGACACCCATTTTGGTCTCTTCTTTCTTCCTTATTTTTAAAATGATGTCTTGCTTTCTTCATGGGTGTTGTGTGAGTTGGAAGCAACCCACAGCTGACCATCCTGCAGATTTTCAGAGATAGTAAATCACTCGGGAGGGGACTGCCCACCCTTCTCCTCTGGTGGAGCAGCTAGTGGATTTGTACCATGTGCCTTTAGGATTGAGAACTAGCAGATTCCCTTTGCCCAGGTCAGTGGGGGATAAAAACGTACATGAAATAGGTCTCAGGCTTGCTCCCTTTTGTTCTTCAGGGGTTATATTTCTTCTAAGATTCTAGCATCTTATAAGATAAGAGACGAAATAAGCTTGAAACATAAACCCTTCAGCAAGTTTTCAAAGTCCTTTAATCACTGGGGAGGAGACTGACCAGAACAGATGGTGGATTTGAACCACTTGCCTTTGGGATTGTAGCACAGCTCCTCCCCACGAGGCCACCAGTGCTCCCAAGGGATAAGGTAAGTATGCCTAAGAGAATCTTTTTAAGGGGTGACATTAAGAAAACACGGTGGTTTCTGCAAACTGACTTTTTGGAGATAGGATTTCTTTTTTTTTTTTTTTAATATACTCAATACCCAAAGCAAATAGCTATTTCTGCTGAGCTTGAGCATTGCTGAATGCTTTCATGCTAAAGCAGAAGCAAAGGACAGAGAAAGATCACCATCCCCACAATCCCTTTTTCACCTGCTCTACCACCCAGGATCACATTCTGTGATCCAACAGAATATGGAAATTATTAACCAATATCATGAATCCCACACAAGCAAAATACTGCTGAAGAACATTTAAAAATAGCTAGAACACTACATAGACAGAGGACTTAGAGAATTTCAAGCTAGATTTAGGAGCAGGCATGGCACCAGAGATATCATTGCTGATATCAGATGAATCCTAGCTGAAAGTAAAGAATACCAGAAAAATGTCCATTTGTATTTTATTGAGTATGCAAAGGCATTTGACTGTGTGGATCATAACAAATTATAGCTAACACTGAGAAGACTTGGAATTCCAGAACACTTAATTGTGCTTATGCGAAACCTATATCAAGACCAAGAGGCTGTTATGCGAACAGAGCAAGGGAACACTTGTTAGTGTTGCTGTTGTGCATCACTGAGTTGGAACTGACCCATGGCTGACCCTCTGGCAGGTTTTCAGAGGCAGTTAATCTCACAGGAGGGAATTTCCCATCCTTCTCCCATGGAGCAGCTGGTGGCCTTATGGTTTAAAATTAAGAAAGGTGTGTGTCAGTGTTGTATTCCTTCTCTATATCTATTCAGTCTGTATGATCAGCAAATTACTTGAAAAGTTGGATTCTGTAAAGAAGAATGTGGCATCAGGATTAGAGGGAAACTCATCAAGGTTACGTTGGTATACAAATGACACAACCTTGCTTGCTGAAAGTGAAAGTTGAAGCAGTTGCTGCTGAAGATCAAAGAATATAGCTTTCAATATGGATTGCATCTCAACGTCAAGGAAAAAAAAAGATTCTCGCCATTGGACCTATAGGTAAAATCATGATAGTTAAAAGATTGAGACCATCAACGACTTCATCTTACGTGGCTCCACAATCAACATTCTCGGTACCAGTAGTCAGATCAGGAGTCGTATTGCACTGGGTAAGTCTGTAGTTAGGGATCTCTTCAAATTATTGAGGAGCAATGATGTCAGTTTGAGGACTAGGGAGTGTCAGATTCAGGCCACGGTCTTTTTAATCACTTGCTATGCAACTGAGAGCTAGACAATGAGTAAGGATGAGAACATAACGGATGCTGTTGATGCTGTTGGAGAAGAGTACTGATAATCCTATGGGTTGCCAAAAGAACAGATACGTCTTAGACAAGGTGCAGTTAGAGTGCTCCTGGGAGGCAAAGATGATAAAACTTCACCTTACATACTTTGGGCATGTTGCTAGGAGAGGCTATTCCTTGGAGAGAGTTTGGCAAAAGAGAGGAAGACACTTAACCAGATGGATTGACACAGTGACTGCAGTAATGGGCTTGATTGTGTCAGGGATTGTGAGGATGGCACAGGATTGGACAAGGTTCACATCAGATACAGTTCAGATACAGAGATGTTCTTATCTGTGGAAGCAAGAGAGCCAGGTAAAGCTCCTTTGTAAAGCCACAAAGAAACAGGTCCCACTCCCGAGTTTTGTTAAGACTGTACATTGTTGTAGTTGTTACAAATGCTGGATAGCAATGATTTTAGTGAGAAGAGCTACTCATAATAGCTTCAGGAGCAATTACAAGTTGTGGATACTAGTGCTCTCTTCGGTAGCACATATATAAAAACTGGAACGATACAGAAAGATGAGCATGACCCCTGCACAAGGATGACATGCAAATTTGTGAAAGATTCAATTTTTTTAAAAATAAGTTCTTATCGTCTATTAGGGTTTTTTCCACTCTTATTACTTTCCTGCCCCCTCCCTGGTAACTACACGAGAATTATTTTTTCTAAGTGTAAGCTTTTCTTTATTATTGTTGTTCTGTATTGTAGAGTCGAAACTGACCCATAGCTGACCCTCTGGTGGGTTTTCAGAGGCAGTTAATCACATGCGAGGAGATTGCCCATCCTTCAGTGGAGCAGCTGGTGGCCTAGAACCAAGTACCTTCAGGATTGCAGTACAGCTTCTTGCCACTAGGCCATCAGAGCTCACTTTTCTTACCTGTATTCCATATATATATACATATACATATACATATACATATACATATACATATACACAAACCAAACAAGTTGTGGATATTAAAGACTGTCCATTACTTTGCTGGTTACATTCCAAGACTTTCTGATGGGAATTAAATGCCTTGATTTTATCTCCAGGTATTGGCTTTATGCCAATGTTCATCCCAGGAACTGCCCATGAATTCTTTTTAGAGGAGAGAGAAGCTGATTTCCAGACCCTTTGCTTTCTGGAAACCAAGATTGTCAGAGTTACCTCCAGAGCAAGGATGAGGCTACAGATTTTGAAAGGTAAAGATGAAGAGCCACATATTTAATGGGCCAGACAACAATCAATCTGCACTGCTAGACCACCACTACACCCTCACTTATTAACATCACTCAACTTTTTTGCCTCCTTTGGACAGAATGTTTTCCTTTCTGTGGAAAAACCAGGAAAGCGGACAACATCACAATTAAGTTTTACAACTGAAAAGAGACACAGAAGCTACAATAGAACTGCCAGGGCTAAAAGGCTCTTAAGATGTTATTTACTTTTCTGGCTGGATGTAATCCATTCACTATCTGGCTGCAGGAAATGAAGAGGACAGAAAGACTGGCTTCATTAAATTCAGGAAATTAAAGACTGAGGATGGCTCGTGGTGCTGACAGTAATTTTGATGGAAGATAAGTCAGCAACAGCAAACAAACAAACAGTATGTTGAGGAAGGCGCTCTCTGCAGACAGGACATCAGAATACAGAAGGAACAACGAATTTTAGATGTTTTTTGGTTATACTCTCATGAAGATAAAACTCAGCATCCACAAAAGCTATGAAGGAAAAATTAAAAATAGGACCCCTGTAAATGAATTCCCACAGGCAACCTTGACAGGAAGAGGCTGACACCTACCACAGGGCTCCGAGTACATTCTCTGAAAGCCAACTCTGTAGACCTCCTGGCAGAACTGCTGTGGGACTTGTTGAAACAGCCTGTGACTCACGGGCTCCCTCTGGGCACTTGCTTCCATCATTTTCTTCTTCACTTGGAAGACAGTGCTCAGAAAATCATTTTTTATCTCCTCCACCTGTAATCCAAGGAAATTAGAAACTGAGAAAGAGGCTGGGGAATGGCTACTTAAACAGTCTGCTACAATACTTCAGGAGCAAAGGCATTTATGTGCAGATTACTTTGCAAGTAATTGATTTTTCATATATAGTCATATCAAATCCATTGCTGTTGAGCTGGGATCAACTCATAGCTGACCTTCTAGCAGGTTTTAGAGGCTGTGAATGGCACAAGAGGAGAATGCCTATTTTTTTTCTCCCTTGGAGCAGCTGGTGGATTCGAACTGTCTTCCTTTCCGGTTGGCCTCTCCCTACCCACTAGGTTGTCAGATTTCCCTTAGATAGTTGTACAGGAGTCTCCTTTCCCCAATCTCCTCCTAGTTTGTCTGGGCAATGACTACGTACCAGACAAAGGACATAGTAATATGTGTATAAACAGTATGGGCAGAGTCTCTGTCCACTTAGAATTCTGCAGGATCCTGCATAGATAAACAAGTACAGGCGATAAATGCTATTCCATTTACTTTCCTTTGCTCTGATATAGACAGCTGTTGTCTGGGTCATAGATCTACCCAGCTATCCATCCTGAAATCATCTCTACTTCCTGGCTTCACTTATACCCCTCAAACTTGTCCTCCCTGCCCATCTTCCAGTTCTATCCACTCCTAGGATTCCAGGTCAGTGAGCAGCTGGTTCAGCGTTATCAGAGGTAAGCTTTTCTTTTCGTCACACTAGTTAATGAATAGCAAGATGAGCTAGACCCTCCTCTTAATGAAGCATACCTTTATAACCTGCAAGCCACATTTTTCGAACTCTTTCTTTCTATCCCGAAGTGCTGGAGATGAAAACCCTTTACGACATTTCATGTACGGGCCAAATTTCATTTCTTCCAGGAATTTTGGTTGGTGCTCAGCCCATCGTCCTAAAAAATGAGTAACATAAACGTTTGCCTGAATAGTCTATGAGAGGGGAAACATATGTAAAGAAAATTGGGGGAAAAGTTGAAGTATTTGATGGAAAAGATAAGTATTATGTCTCATTCAGATTAGGGCATGCAAGAAGACATATCATGCTGTGAAAGTTAAAGGATAAAATAGAGGAGTAATAGATCTGTATGACAACAGAAGTTGACTCAGGATCGAGCAAGATTCAGAGCTGTTGTTCATAGGGTCATTATGACTCACAGTCTACTGTTGTTGTTATGTCCCGTCAACTCGCTTGCGACTCATAGCGACCCTATGTACAACAGCCCTAAACTCTGCTTTGTCCTGTGCCAATCACACCGTCTCTGACACTCCCATCCCTATTATCCCAGTCACTGAATCAATCCACCTCATAGAGGACCTTCCCCTCCTGCGCTGTCCCTCCACCCTTCCAAGCAGGATGTCCTTCTCCAAGGACCGGTCTCTCCTCACAACATGTCCAAAGTATGTTAGACTGAGCCTCAGAATCCTTGCCTCCAAGGAGCAGCCCAGTTTAAACCCTCCCTCTCCAGGATGAATCTGTTTGTTTTCCTAGCAGTGCATGGTACTCTCAATAGTATTCTCCAGCACCACAGCTCAAAGGCATCAATTCTCCTTCTGTCCTCCTTGGTCATTGTCCAACTCTCTGATGCCTAACAAGTGATTGCGAAGACCCTGGCCTGTATCAGACACAACTTAGTCTCCAGAGAGACACCATTGCTCTTCAGTACTT